AAAACAGGATCTTCTCTTTTACAGACCAAAGTAGTAATAATCTGAATCCCAGCCTCAATTTAGATATAAATGTTGAGTATTAACTTTATCTATGTATGTGTTGAACAAGTCTCTATCTCTCTGGACCTCAGTTTTCCAATCAATAAAAGTATTCATCTAGAAAGACCGATAATAAATTCCTTACACATCTAAAAGTCTACACAGGAAAACAGCAAATGTCAATTAAACATCATGATAAACCTTGATCTGCAACTCTTGTGAAACATATTGTTCTAGATAGCTAAGATTTAAACATTGCCTTGAAGCATCATAAGCACTTTTTTTTTTTTTTTTTTTTTTTTTGAGACGGAGTTTTGCTCTTGTGACCCGGGCTGGAGTGCAATGGCGCGATCTCGGCTCACCGCAACCTCCGCCTCCTGGGTTCAGGCAATTCTCCTGCCTCAGCCTCCTGAGTAGCTGGGATTACAGGCACGCGCCACCATGCCCAGCTAATGTTTTTTGTATTTTTAGTAGAGACGGGGTTTCACCTTGTTGACCAGAATGGTCTCGATCTCTTAACCTCGTGATCCACCCGCCTCGGCCTCCCAAAGTGCTGGGATTACAGGCTTGAGCCACCGCGCCCGGCCATAAGCACTTTTTTTAAACCCTTGCCAGTTGGAATATACATCTCTATAGTGCACTGTACACTCTTCTACCATTTTATGCTGAACCTTTCTTGAATAATCATGGTCCTCACTTTGATCATGAACATTATAACAATTAATATATATGCCGATTCCCTCAGAGCATATTCATATATGCAGCATGGTTTTATTCTTTTTAAAGGCTATGGCCTCCATTTTAAGTTGTTTCTTTTCCTAGTTTTTTGCCTTCTCTTTTACCACCAGTTACTATTTCGATTATAGAATCAGAAAAAAGATCAACAAGCTTATCAGAGAATTGAATATTTTTTAAAAAAGGTTTAACTTGAACATTCTCCTACAAAAAAGATATCTTTTGTTATTTATATTGACAGCTCAGAGGCTTTTTATATTTACTGTCTTGTTCTTGGCTATGTTCCAAATGGCTGAGTTCCAAACAGATGAAGTGCTACATATTTAAAAAAAGTGAACCACCGAGTACGGTGGCTCACGCCTATAATCCCATCACTTTGGGAGGCCGAGGCGGGTGGATCACGAGGTCAAGAGATCGAGACCATCCCAGCTGACATAGTGAAACCCCGTCTCTGCTAAAAAATACAAATATTAGCTGGGCATGGTGGCGCACGCCTGTAGTCCCAGCTACTCAAGAGGCTGAAGCAGGGGAACTGCTTGAACTCGGGAGGCGGAGGTTGCAGTGAGCCGTGATAGCACCACTGCACTCCAGCCTGGCACCTGGTGACACAGCGAGACTCTCTCTCCCAAAAAAAAAAAAAAAAAAAAAAAAAAAAAAAACAGTGAACCAGCCAGGCGCAGTGGCTCACGCTTGTAAACCCAGCAGTTTGGGAGGCTGAGACAGGCAGATCACCTGAGATCAGGAGTTCGAGACCAGCCCGGCCAACATAGTGAAACACCATCTCTACTAAAAATACAAAAATTAGCCAGACATGGTAGCGGGTAACTCTCATCTCATTTGAAAAAGAAATCCTGGGCCGGGTGCGGTGGCTCAAGCCTGTAATCCCAGCACTTTGGGAGGCCGAGGTGGGTGGATCACGAGGTCAAGAGATCGAGACCATCCTGGTCAACATGGTGAAACCCCGTCTCTACTAAAAATACAAAAAAAATTAGCTGGGCATGGTGGCACGTGTCTGTAATCCCAGCTACTCAGGAGGCTGAGGCAGGAGAATTGCCTGAACCCAGGAGGCGGAGGTTGCGTTGAGCCGAGATCGCGCCATTGCACTCCAGCCTGGGTAACAAGAGCAAAACTCCGTCTCAAAAAAAAAGAAAAAGAAATCCTGTAATCCCAGCTACTTAGGAGGCTGAGACAGGAGAATCGCTTGAACCCAGTAGGCAGAGGTTGCAGTGAAGCTGAGATCACGCCACTGCACTGCAGCCTGAGTGACCGAGACGCTATCTCAAAAACAAGTAAACCAATCTAGGTCCGTTTTCCAATGCCACAAAAGTTTACTGGTCTTCAAAAACTACTCTAACAATTGAAAAATGCCAAGAACCACTGTAGTTAGGAAAAACTTGGACAAATCTCCTTTTTCACAGTATTCACCCCCCTTTATGTCTAGAAATATTAAACAGAATCTATTTTTCTAACATTTAGCTAGAAGCCCATGAGAAACTAAACTGCATGATTTTTTCTTAATGAGGAGTCTCACTGTCACTCCCACCTCCATTTTTAATTAAAAACACTATACACGCATAAAGTCCTTCTTTATACATATTAAACGCTTGCATCTGAAGAACAGCTGAAATAGGAAGAAATAAAAAGACTCGGCTGGGTGTGGTGCTCATACATTTAATCCCAACACTTTGGGAAGTCGAGATGGGAGGACTGCTTGAGGCCAAAGTTGAAGACCAGTCTAGTCAACATAGCGAGACTCCCACCTCATTTGAAAAAGAAAAATTTTTTAAAAGAAACAAACAAAAAAATTTATTTAAAAATATGTGTGTGTGTGTGTGTGTACACACACACACACACACACACATATATGTTGGCCAGGCTGGTCTCGAACTCCCGACCTCAGGTGATCCACCTGCCTCCGCCTCCCAAAGTTCTGGGATTACAGGCATGAGCCACCAGGTCTGGCCCCACCTCTTCTTTTTTTTTTTTTTTTTTTTTTTTAAAGATGGGGTTTCATCATGTTGGTCAGGCTGGTCTTGAACTCCTGGCCTCAGGTGATCCGCCTGCCTTGGCCTCCAAAGTGGTTGGATTACAGGCGTGAGCCACCGCGTTCGGCCTCACCTCTTCTTTTTTTGATGAACAAATTCAGCAACAAAAGCCACATTCAATCTTCCCCTTCCCCCCCTCCTTTTTTTTTCTTCTTCAGTTTAGTCTGCAGTTTTTCCTGATTTTCATTGTGGTCCTTTTTATGCTCTTTGTTATCTTATCTGTTCCTTTTGCTCCTTATAGCTTACTGGTATTCAGGTATGGAGAGGCTTTATAATGTTTCAACTGACAGTTATAAGAATGACTTCTGATATAAGAATTATGCAGTTGGCTGGGAGCGGTGGTTCACGTCTGTAATTCCAGCACTTTGGGAGGCTGAGGTGGGCAGATACCTGAGGTCGGGAGTTCAAGACCAGCTTGACCAACATCGAGAAACACTGTCTCTACTAAACATACAAAATTAGCCAGGTGTGATGGCACATGCCTATAATTTCAGCTACTTGGGAGGCTGAGGCAGGAGAATTGCTTGAACCCAGAGGCAGAGATCGCACAACTGCACTCCAGCCCAGGCAACAGCACAAGACTCCGTCTCAAAAAAATAA